GGAGACATCTGGGAGGCAGAAGAGCCAGGGGTCAGGGTAACGGAGGCTGGCCCCTGCCAACTGCCCTCCTCCCGCCCAGCCCCAGCCCGGCCTCAGCCCTCACCTGCACCAGGATGCGGGGTCTCTGTGGGGAAGGGAAGGGGACGTTGTGAATGAAGTGGGAGATGTGCCTGGGGAGAGAGGTATGCGGGTCAGAGACGGAGTCCCCAGTCTACCTCTATCCTACCATCACATTCACTCTCCTCAGCCACCTGGCCCCAGAACTTTATTCCTCCCTGACCTCGCCTTGAGCCTGCGTCAGCCATCGGAGCAGCCAGTATACAGGGTGTCCCCCCAAAACAGCTGATGGCTCCGTTTTGAAATTAAATGTATTTTAATGAAACTGCCTTTATGATTCGAAGTGTGTGTACACATGTTTGGGACACCCTATGTATAGAATCCATGCAAGCCCCTTAGCTAGCAAGTGTGGACTGGAGTTCAGGCCCCTCTCCCCCTTAGCCAGCGGCACTTTGGCAATGTATACAACCACACACGACAGCCCTGTCCCCCACTTCTCTGCCCACCTCCCCCCCACACACCCCCAGTCCGCTCCATCCTAATCTCTTCCATCTCTCCTGGCCTCCTGATCCCCTCAGACTCCTTCCCAGTGTCAGGGGAGCCATGCTCACGCTTCCAAGGGCAGGCGGTGGGGGCCTGAGACGGAGTAGCGGTAAAGGAAGGTAAGGAAGGCGCGGAAGGCGGAGAAGGCAGGCCAGCGGGACAGCACGGCGATGGCGCGCCGGCTGCGCACCGCTCGGCCCCCAAGTGCCCGGCCTCGTTCCACGGCGCTCAGCAGGCCCAGTGCCCGTGACTGCCGCTCCGACAGCCTGGCCCTCGGGAACGCCTCGTAGAACTGCAGGGCTGCACCGTACACCTGGCGGGGGCAGAGGGGCAGTCAGGTGGGCCCTGCACGGCCCAGACCCCCTCCCCCACTCCACACACCCACCTTATTACCAGCTGCACCCGTCAACACGAAGGTGGAGAAGACCGGCACCGGGTACTTGGTCTCGGCCGGCCAGCACTCGATGGTGGCCCCCATGGGTAGGCAGAAGACGGGCACTGACTCGGGCAGCGGAAATGTCTCATTGTCCTCCTCTGGGTAGCGGCCCAGCAGCTCTGCACCCAGGACAGAGTGGGGCCCCCAAAAGGAGGGTGTATCAGGCTCCAGGGAAGGAACTGGGGGGATCCCAGGGAAGGGCCAATGGCGAAGGAGAGGGAGTCCAGGCACAATGAAAGTGACAGC